CTGAAATTGATTACAACTTATTGTTGATAAGTTTCAACAATGTCTCAGTTCCTTGGGCATTTTATTAAAAGGCCAAATCAAGTTCAAATTTAATTGAAAGACTATATAGATTGAAAGTGTTAAATAAATAGTCTCATTATTGATTAAGGTTAATTAAACATGATTAGTGATTAATTATGACTAATGAAGTATTGTGTAATCTTTTAAAAATTACAATATATCCCCAAAGAGCCAAAATTCTTGCAAACAAACCCAAACACCTTCTTCTTCTTCCTCCCGCCATTAAAGCATCCCTCCCCTGGTTGTTGTTTCTTCTAAGCTTTGTCTACATCTTCTTCTGCATCTTCTTCTTTGTCTACAGCTTCTTCTTCCTGTACATCTTCTTCTTCTCACCATTAAAACTATCTTTTTCCTCTGCCATTAACATCTTCTACGCCACAGATCCTCCTCCTGACATTTTTTCCAGGTATGTGTATCTCCCCTTTCCATTTTATATTTTGACTTACAAAGATTTAATGATGGATTGGGTCAGGGTTATGATTTTGATTTAGTTGTTTAGGTTGCGGTCGCTCATCGGAAGTCTTCATCCTCCCCCCCGCCTTAGCTAGGACAAGGATAACCTCATATATCCAAGCCTACATTGTAAAAAAACAGTCCATATCATAATTAAAACACATATAATAAAAAAAAAAAAAAAAAAAAACTCTCAATATTTACCTGCATGGCCCATGGGAAGCCAAATAAATTGTACGTGCTCGGTCTATTCTTCTCAACAGATTGGCAATGCTTTAACGCCATGCTTTAAACCTAGCTTCTCCTAGCCTTTCCTCTAAATCGCGTCCCGTAATAGACGCCTTTCCCCCAAAACCTTTTTAGCCAAGTTATCGGCTGCCCTACTCTTTTTTATTCTCTCCTGCTCTTCCGCATCTGGAAATGCCCCGCATCTTAAACTTGTCACAAGGGCATATTCCATCATCCCAAAGCGTAGTGGCTTCCCATCCATTACGAACCACATTTCATTTTTATTTTTTTTAGCTTTTTACTGAGTGCAACAACATATAATGCACTCCCTGCCCCCAAAAAGTCGTTTTCTAGTTTTCTCTGATGTTTACAAAATGATCGAAGCAACTCTCTTTAAATTGGTCCATACCCTTCTTCTGTTCCTTTAAAATCTCCATTATTCTCGTAAAAACTTCCCAACTCGACCCAATTGTCACATTTACGGGGAAGTACGATACCTTGTCGCTTACAATCTCCAACTCATAGTCTTTATAATTTATGCTTCGCAAAATCAGCACAAACGATATAAACTAAATATCAGCGAAAAAAGAGACCAAATAACCAATAGGCTGACAATTTGGGGGATATGGCCTTCAATGGCATCGCGGAGTGGGTTTTTTTGGCCTCGACAGGACCGGGGAAGCCAATGCAAGCCTTTACAGAGCTTGTTGTGGCAGGTTCCATGAGGTTGGAGGGTTGAGGATGGCAGAATATGCAGGGCAGCCCTCCAGCCCCCCTATTCCGCCACCTCCTACCATCCCCAGCCCTCCAACTTCCCTTGCCTTCCCCCATCCTCTGGAACCCAAATAAAACCACTCCCCCCATGCCCATCAACTGCTCGACAAAAAGCCACAACCATCATAACAATAAAACCAACTACATATCCCCCAAATTCGCTCAAATCAATCAAATTTCTCATCAAATTCAAAACAAAAAGTAAAAAACGTACCCTTTCTTCACCGTTGTCCTCCTCCTCGCCTGAATTCTAGTTGGTGTCCTCCTTTTCAAAACCATTTCCTGATTCTTCTCTCTTTTCTTGTGTCGCTGTTGTCTCCTCTGCCTCTGGACCACCTTGACTCATCAGATGATCCATCATAGCGTCTTCTTCGATAGCCTTTGAACTGCTAGCACCATCGGAGTCTAGGATTCGGAGTGGGGTTCGGTTTTCCTTTTCTTTGTGAATGTCAACCATGATTTTGTGTAAGGAAGCTTAAGGATCGAATATTTGCCGGAATTAAGGCACTGTCGTCGCCGAAAATCACAGAGAAACAAAATGTGTTCGTCGGTCGTTTTTTGGGTATATGGCTCGATTAAGCGATTTTGAAGGGTGGGGGCTCGTTTTCAAATTTCAAAATTCAAACAAACTTTCGTTAATTATGACTTTACCCACATATCTTTAAATCTTTTCATTTTAACCCATTTTACATGTTTAATAAATCCTAAGTGTGCCACGGCAGCGTTTCTAAATTAAAAAAAAATTCAAAAATATTTTCAAGGTCATTTTTTTAAATGTAAACTTGGGAGGTCTAGCTAGTTAAATTTAATGTACGAGAGCATTTTATTAAAAGGTCAAATCAAGTTCAAATTTAATTAAAAGGCCATGTAGTTTGAAAGTGTTAAGTAAATAGCCTTATTATTGATTAAAGTTAATTAAACATGATTAATGATTAATTAGGATTAATGAAGTATTGTGTAATCTTTTAAAAATTACAATATGTCCCCAAAGAGCCGAAATTCTTGCAAATAAACCCAAACACCTTATTCTTCTTCCTCCCGCCATTAACGCATCCCTCCCTTGGTTGTTGTTTCTTCTAAGTTTCCTCTACATCATATTCTTCTTCGTCTACATCTTTTTCTTCCTCCTTCCTGTACATCTTCTTCTTCCCACCATTAACATCTTCTCCACCACAGATCCTCCTCCTCCTCCTCCTGACATTTCGTCTAGGTATGTGTGTCTCCACTTTCCATTTTATATTTCAACTTACAAAGATTTAATAATGGATTGGGTTTGGGTAATGATTTTGATTTAGTTGTTTAGGTTGCAGTCGCTCATCGGAAGTCTTCATCCTCCCCCCCGCCTTAGCCAGGACAGAGACGACCTCATACATCTAAGCCTACATTGTAAAAAAACAATTCATATCATAATTAAAGTACATATTATACAAAAAAAAAAAAAAAAAGGCTATTAAGATTTACTTGCATGGCCCATGGGAAGCCCAATAAATTGTACGTGTTCGGTTTATTCTACTCAACAGATTGGCGATGCTTTAATGCCATGTCTTTTCCTTGCAGGGAGTCCATGGTTAGCTGAAATGATACCCGTCCCCACGAATAAACATTAAAAAAGTCTATGTTCCTTGCAAACTTCACCCAATCCATATTAACGACTTTTGTTGAGTCTGAAGTCATTAGGATCGAATGAACAAACCATACCAGACACATCTTGAACTTCTCTGAAGACGTAAACCCAGCTTCTCATAGCCTCTCCTCTAAATCACGTCCCATAATAAACGCCTTCCCCCCAAAACCTTTTTAGCCAAATTATCGGCTACCCTACTCTTTTTTATTCTCTCTTGCTTTTCCGCATCTGGAAATGCCCTGCATCTTAAACCTGTCACAAGGGCATATTCCATCATCCCAAACCATAGTGGCTTCCCATCCACTGCGAACCACATTTCATTTATTTTTTTTTGGCTTTTTACTGAGTGCAACAACATATAATGCACTCCCTGCCCCTAGAAAGTCGTTTTCCAGTTTTCTCCAATGTTCACAAATTGACCGAAGCAACTCTCTTTAAATTGGTCCATACCCTTCTTTTGTTCCTTTAAAATCTCCATTATTCTCATAAAAATTTGCCAACTCGACCTAATTATCACCCTTACGGGGAAGTACGGTACCTTATCGCTTACAATCTCCAACCCATAGTCTTTATAATTTACGCTTTGCAAAATCTGCACAAACGATATAAACTAAATATCAGCAAAAAAAAAAAAAAAAAAAAGAGACCAAAACAACCAATAGGTGGACAATTTGGGGGATATGGCCTTCGAGGGCATCAGGGAGTAAGTGTTTTTGGCCTCGACAGGACCGGGGAAACCAATGCAAGCCCTACAGAGCTTGTTGTGGCAGGTTCCACGAGGTTGCAGGGCTGAGGATGGCAAGAGGTTGCAGAACAGGGGGGCTAGAGGGCTACCCTGCAATATCCTCCAACCTCCCACAAACAACCTCCCTTGCCTTCCCCCATCCTCTGGAACCCAAACAAAGTCATTCCCCCCATGCCCGTCGACTGCTCAACAAAAAGCCACAACCATCATAACAATAAAACCAACTACATATCCCCTAAATTTGCTCAAATCAATCAAATTTCTCATCAAATTCAAAACAAAGAATAAAACATTTCTTCACCGCCGTCCTCCTCCTCGCTTGAATTCTCGTCGGCGTCCTCCTCTTCATAACCATTTCCCGATTTTTCTCTCTTTTCTTGTGTCGTCATTGTCTCCTCTACCTCTGGACCACCTTGACTCATCAGATGATCCACCGGAGGGTCTTCTTTGATAACCTTTGAACTGTTTGCGCCGTAGGAGTCTAGGATTCAGAGTGGGGTTGGGTTTTCCTCCTCTTTGTGAACTAATCATGGTTTTGTGTAAGGAAGCTTAAGGATCGAATATTTGCCAGAATTAAGGCACTGTCGTCGCCAAAAATTGCAGAGAAACGAAATGTGTTCGTCGGTCGTTTTTTGGGTATATGACTCGATTAAGCGATTTTGAAGGGTGGGGGCTCGTTTTCAAATTTCAAAATTTAAATAAAATTTTGTTAATTACAATTTTACCCACATATGTTTAAATCTTTTCAGTTTAACCCGTTTTACATGTTTAATGAATTTTAAGTGTGCCATGTTAGCTTTTCTAAATTAAAAAAATTCAAAAATATTTTCAGGGTTATTTTTTTAAATGTAAGCTTGGGAGGTCTGGCCAGTTAAATTTAATGTACGTGCAAACCGACCTGGATATCCCGATTAAAAAACATAAAAAGAATTTGGGGCTAGATGAGAAGCAATTGTTTTATTTTAAGATATTGGGCAGATATATAATTATAAATGTGTCATGGGTGTATCCGACTTTGGATCCATGCATTCAAGTCGGACAAAACATAGCAGACCCGACCCTAAAACCGAAATTGAGAACCCATCATCAGAGATCCAATCTTAAAGACTCAAAACTCTCAACTCGGTCAGAACTCAAGAACTACTGAACTTCCTTGGGTCTTAGATCACACAAAATCTTTCAGAGAAATCTGAAATTGATTACAACTTATTGTTGATAAGTTGCAACAATGTCTCAGTTCCTTCACCAAAGACCGTTACACAGTCCGTTATCAGATCCCTACCCAGTTTCTCCACGGAATTCAATATCCTTCCAAAGACCAATGTCACTTCTCAATCGAACAACCGTTCTAGTCTTACTCACTCTCTTAGTCCTACTCGGAGTAATCCTTCCTTGGATTGGAACGCCCCAATTCATGTTCCCAAACACCACCTCCTCTCTCGCCAAATGGCGCGATTACACTCTGTCTCAAGCAGTGTCGTTCGTAGCCAAGAACGGAACTGTGATTGTTTGTGCTGTGAGTCAACCTTACTTACCTTTTCTGCAAAACTGGTTGATTAGTATTAGCCGGCAAAAGCACCAAGATAAAGTTCTGGTGATTGCAGAGGATTATGCCACTCTTTATAAGGTTAACGAGAAATGGCCCGGTCACGCCGTGCTCGTTCCCCCCGCTCCCGATTCACAAACTGCGCATAAGTTTGGTTCTCAGGTTAAATCTTCTTTTATGACTACACTAAAAGACAAAGGATTTAAGATTTTGCTGTTTCTTAATCATTTACAACTTTGTGTGCGTTAAACATTATCTGAGCTACTGTTGATTTGACTCTTAGTTGGATTAGTTTGTTATTCATCCTGTGTTATATAGTTCAGGCCTTTGTTGATCGCTATAATGCTGATAATTAGCAGTTTTTGTCAGTGTTTTACTCAACCAAGTTGCTTTTGCCTTATTGTTGGTTTAGGGGTTAGTTAATTGAGTTAACTGCTTGTGAAATCGAAATGGTGTTGATTTTGGTTTTTACTGTATAGGGATTCTTCAATTTTACATCTCGAAGGCCTCGCCATCTGCTGCACATATTGGAACTTGGGTATAATGTTATGTACAATGATGTTGATATGGTCTGGTTGGGAGATCCATTCCGATATTTAAAGGGAAATCACGATGTGTACTTCACCGATGATATGGCTGCGGTATGTGCGCTAAAGTTACTACTACCTTTGTATGTTTTCTCGGTGAAGTTTTGATTCTATGCCGTATTTGTAATACATAGCTCATGACATTGCGTTTCTAGTATAAACTTCTTTTTTTCACTGATGCTTTTTCTCTCTTTGGGGAACCAGGTTAAGCCACTCAACCACTCCCATGATTTGCCGCCTCCTGGGAAAAAGGGACGCACTTATATATGTAGCTGCATGATTTTCATGAGGCCCACTGATGGAGCGAAAGTAGTTATGAAGAAATGGATTGAAGAGCTTCAAGCTCAACCATGGTCCAAAGCAAAGAAAGCAAATGATCAGCCTGCGTTTAACTGGGCACTGAATAGAACAGCGGGGCAGGTATGTTCCTTGTCTGTTCTTGCCATGCCTCCTTAGTAACCTTATTCATGTCAAAATGCTTAGTTACCAGAAGGTGATTGCCAAAATTGAGGCTTGTGGATGAAAATTAGTATGTTTCAGGCTATAGCGGTTTAGCCTGACTTGTGCCAAGTACATATCCCATTTCTTGGCTTATACAAGTTTTAGTCATAGACGATTAAGTTCTTGGCATCATCCTCCTTGAGACGGGTTGAAGTAGTGAAATTCACTCTTTACAAGTTGTAGAATTAGTTATGCTCCTACGATTCTTTATTCTTTGGGCTGGGTCTTTGTATTATTGGGCTTCTTGTCAGTATTGTGGTACCAAATTATCATTTTAAATTCTTAGATCTTTGTTCTTATATTTGTACCTTTTTATCTGTTTATTTTAACCTAATGAATGAAATATGTTTCTAAGTTGATTGTTGTCATTTTATTTTCAATCAAATAATAGAGGACTGTAAAGTTTTTTTTGATTATTCTAACCCTTAAGGCACACACCTGAAACTTTGTAAAACTGAGGTCCTGGTTCTGCATCTTGGCCTTTAAAAACCTTGCCGAAAAATGTGCTTGGATTTGTGCCTTAATAATTGACATGAACTGTTAGTTATGTTTATTTTCCAAGGCTTCTGTTTGATCAAACAGAATACTTTGGAATAGTTTGTTACATCTGTCCAAAAAAAAAAAAAAAAACTATGGAGCTCATTAGACACCTGAATAATGAGAATTATGACACTATTTGCACTGTTGATATCTCTACCTGCTAATTCCATCAGTAGTGCTTTAGCTTCAAAACTCCCTTTTGTCTATTGGGTTTCATGTGTCATGGAAATCAATTTCATTGCTATTAGGGTGTCCTCGTGCTTGAGGAAGTACTAATGTGTTAAGTTGGTTATGGGTGGCTTCTGTGAATGACGATCCTTGGGGCTTTGCTTAGTCTACATATTCATTTTCCTCTGCTATTTTCTCATTGGATGTACTCTAAATAATGAAAAATAATGAGCTGATTTCTGGATAACATTTTAAAAGTATCTTCAGACATATGTTGTTTGGATTAATTTGATGAATGTTCATTTCTGCTATTTCTGTAGGTGGATCTGTACCTGCTGCCCCAGGCAGCATTCCCAACTGGAGGACTATACTTCAAGAACCAGACATGGGTACAAGAAACTAAAGGGATGCATGTAATCATACATAATAATTACATCACAGGTTTTGATAAAAAGATAAAACGCTTCCGTGATTTTAGTCTCTGGTTGGTGGATGATCACGCCCTGGAATCACCATTAGGCAGGTTATAACAAGGGGGTAACCATATGATCTCTTTCTGCTGAATTAATAAGGCATTATTTGTCAACCTTGATGGAGTTCAGCTTGCCGAGGGGTCATCTTTCTGCTCATGAGCCGGCATCATGGAATCGAAGGGAGGAATCTGAAAATGTAGTAGTGAAATTGCTGGGTTTTTTAATTGTATTTTTGGCGGGGTTTAAGTTTGCAAAAAGTCAGATAGATCGTATGTCTTGAAATTGGTTGGCAATGAAGGGGCCGGAATTCATTACATAAGGTGTGTGCAAAAGCATCTGAGTCAACTTGTTTTAACCAATCAGATTGTAGCCGGGTTGCTCAACTCGACTGTCTCATTCGAAGATGTCATGACTCATGACTCCTCAACCTCCTTTTAGGAGAAATTTTGCTTCAACATTTATGTGAGACGCTGTTTTGTCGGTTGTATAAAATCAACCGTGTGCTGCGTGGATATCAAGTTGTTGTACAACTAAAGGAGTAAAGCAGAGAGACAAAATTACCTTTTTTTTTATCAGTTTGTGTCATAATTTTATATATTCACAATAGGTTAATTCAGCCATTCCATAAAATGAATACTTAGAAACTTGATAAGGTATAAGCAGAAGTATAAGCTCCGAGGACATTAAACTCTTAATATATGTAGAAATAAATAGTTTTATATCTAAATTTAAAATTTAATTATTGGGTGGTATAATTAGCTAGGCGGTATAGTGAAGGTAGAGGCATATGTGGATATTGATTCAGCATAAGTGAGAGTTATTAATGGTAGTATGGTACCATCAAATTTGACAGCTGATAAAGGCTGGAAGATCGGTTGTACAAGCTGTCAGATATTTTATTTAAGAGCCACCCAAGGTTTATTGAAAAGACCAGTTCCCACCCTGGTTTTGATAAATTTCACATTCCCACCTTTAAATTAACCAAAAATCATTTAATAGAACGGTTAAAGGAATAAAGGGTATTTATGTCTTTTTACCAAAATTTTCTCACAACCCAACCCATCCTCAATTCCATCACCACCAACCCACCACTGTCAGCCACTGCAAAACCCACACCAACTCCCAGCCGCTACAAAACATACACCAACTCCCAATTGTGACTTTTCGTCTTCCATGGTCGCGAGACTTTTCGGCCAGCCTTTGATGCCAACCTGTTGACAAACCCCGCCACCCACACCATGACCCTAACACAAGCACCATAACCCCAATCATCATTTAACTCAACCAAATTCTAGGGAAAAGGCCTTCAATCAACGATGAACAGGGTCGAGAAATATGGAGGTTTTGGATAGGGCGGCCCAGTGAGTCGAATGGCTGGGTGGGGGATGATTTCCGATGGAGAGGGCGACTGAAAAAAGGTTGAGAAGTTGGGCAAAAAACGAAAAGCCCAAACTGGAATAGGGTGGTTTGGAATGAGATGATACATGGATGGTTTTGTAATAGCACTCGACTGAGCTCCACAATCACTAATAGAATCACTTTAAAAATGAGAATTTGGAATAAATGAAACGAAGGGGTGAAACCTGTATTTCACTCATCTTTGCGTGGGAACATGTCGTTTGCTCTCTATTTAATTTAATTAATATGCAATTATCCTCTTTCGTTTTCAACAATACCACCTTCCTCTCTTACTTTATTATTTAGTATTATTATGCGTATGACATCAGGTATCGTTTCATTCATGCATCCATTATTTTAGCTCCACGTGTATAATTTATTACGCTCCTATCAAGCAATCATATTTTAAAATTGATAAGAAAATTATGATGTGATGAGAAAATTGAAGTTACTGGGTGTATGTAACCGACACTTTGAAAATTTGTTAATTTGAAATATTAAGAAGCTGCATGGACTTAAAAAGGCCCACGGTAATTAGGTGATGACTGTATCTTTCGTTTTAAAATTATTTTCCAATTTCCATTTTGAAGATCTGATAAAAAGCGTTAGTTCTTCCAAATTTATCGTTAAGATTATTCTCCTTCTCTTTAAAGCTTAATAAGAAGTCACCCTCTTTGACAAATTAAGGACAGAGACAGACAGGCAGACCAAAGACACGTCATTAAGTAACCATCTCTTCTCGCTTTCTCTCTCTCTCTATGAACTCTGCCCATTCTTTTACTCAGCTCACAAGCAAAGCAAGCATCCTGTACTCTCTTTCTCTTCTGCTTAAACACTCTCCTTTCTTTATTTGAATTTATTCTTTTCTTACTTCCACTTCTCTTTTTTACCACTCTAATTCTTCTTTCTTTCTTGATTTGCATGTGTTTGTGTTGAAACGTCTTCTTTCTTTTCCTTTTTCCTTTTTTCCTTTTTTCTGTAAATTTGATGGGAATGTAAATGGGTTCTTTAGAAAGTGGGGTCTTTCCATTCAAGAGAGAGAATCTTGGCCGTTCTTCATCAAGAACTGAGAGGCACCCCTTTTTACAGAGACACAGATCGAGATTTTCACGTTTCTTGTTTTTCAAGAAGCTAGATTATTTACAATGGATTGGCACGGTTGCTGTCTTCTTGGTCTTTGTTGTTATTTTTCAGATGTTTTTACCTGGTTCAGTAATGGATAAATCCGATGATTCATTGCAAGAAACGGATGTAGTCCCTTCAGATTTGATGTTCTTGAAAGAAATGGGTCTGTTGGATTTTGGAGAAGACATTACATTTAAGCCCTTAAAGCTTATGGAGAAATTTCAAAGCGAAAATAGAGAGTTGAATTTGACTAATGTTTTTAATAGGACTCAACTCCGTTTTGGATACAGAAAGCCCCAGCTTGCATTGGTCAGTATTCTATAGTAGCTCAAGTTTAGATACTGTGTTAATGGGTTTGCTTTGTTGTTGGTTTTGGATTTTTATTTGTTTTATAGTTCGTTTGATTTTTATTTCTACTTGAAGGTTTTTGCGGATCTGTTGGTTGATCCACAGCAATTGCTAATGGTGACAGTTGCAATTGCATTGCGAGAGATTGGTTATTCAATTCAGGTAGTAATGGATTGTTATTTGTATGTTACATCTTCTGTTAAGCTTAACTTGTGGTTGTCAAGTGAAGATATTTTTGGATTGCTTGAGCCTCAATTTTATTCATCTGGGCTATCCTTCTGGTCAATTAATATTCTTTTGATTCAATTGCTTGATTAAGTGCAAAAAATGAACAAATTAAAGTAGTCATGGACCTACCTCAAGGTTTAGAAAAGATGAAGTTTCAGTTAGTTAATCATGCTTATATGCACCGCATTAGACATAATGGGATGAACAATTTTTCTCAGTATCACATACGTTTTAGTTTCTTTTGGCAGGTTTACTCCCTTGCAGATGGTCCAGCATATGAAGTCTGGAAAAACACAGGAGTTCCAGTTACCATTATTCAAACCCGTGACAAGATGGAGTATTTTGTAAATTGGCTGAAGTACGTTTTTAATGTTGACTAGTCTCTTATATTTCGTGTTAAGTCTGTTAACTCCAGCAAGTGGAAGGGTAGTATGTTTAACTGTTGAACTACTTACTCATAATCGTTGTAGTCTTTGATCAATTCATTTTTTTTTCATATGGTTACCTCTGCATATAATGGTTTTTGGTTATTTTTCATGATGATGTATCCTTTTTGCAGCTATGATGGCATACTTGTGAGCTCTCTTGAAGCCAAGGGTATCTTTTCCCGGTAAGATATTTATTTTGTTTTCTCTAGATATAATTTCGAAATTGGCTTCTCAAGGTCCTTGCTTTTCTTCCCTCATCTATATTTTCTGCATCCTAGTTTTTCTTTTCCTTATGTTGTCTAGACTCTAAGGATAATGCCTTTAGATGCAAATTGGATTTGTTTTGCAGTTTGTGACCTAAAAAGTTGTAGAAGTTATAGATACACTAGTTTGTCATTAACTTGATTTGTTACAACGGAAATGCAACCTTTTTGCCTCCATTACTTTAGACCTTACTTCAGGAATGGATTTGTCAGTGCTTCAGTTATTTGTTTAATTGTTATCAGTCAGTTAACATCATTGATTTTACTTCTTACAGTCTCATGCAGGAACCTTTCAAGTCTTTGCCTCTCATATGGACCATCCATGAAAAAACACTCGCTATTCGTTCTAGACAGTATGCTTCAAATGGGCAACTTGAGCTTGTGAGCTATTGGAAAAGAGTTTTCAACCGTGCCACTGTTGTTTTATTCCCTGACTATGTCTTGCCGGTAATAACCATTAGGTGATGTTTGGTTGTACACAGTGTTTAGCATTTTAAAATGATATTTAAGGATACAACTTTCCAGAACGGGGTGTGAGGGATATACATTTTCACCTGTGCGTTTAAATTTTTCTTCTTAGTAATCATTTCTGTGTTATGATGTCTCTGAGTTCGAGCCAGGGGATGTAAATGCACAGATTAGATACATCTTTTTATGTGCTTACTCATTTTAAAGGCAATATCATGGCCTTTAGTATTCAGGACAATTGCAACTATGTATCATCTGGTACAAATGTAGTTATCCGTAAGGCTCATTCTTATTAGATTGGTGCTGAAGTCAGGACCTGATTTTCAATGATTTTATTTCTTTCTGTGCTTTCTACAGGTAATGTACTCTACATTTGATTCTGGAAACTATTATGTTATTCCGGGTTCTCCTGCTGAAGCATGGAAAGCTGATAGCAAACGGGCTTTGTACAACAATAGTATACGTGCCGAGATGGGCTATAGTGCTGATGATCTTGTCATTGCAATTGTAGGAAGCCAATTTCTGTACAGGGGTTTATGGCTGGAGCATGCCATTGTTTTACAGGCTTTATTGCCACTTTTTCCTAACTCTGTAGTGGAAAATGAATCAAATTCTCATATCAAGATCATGATTTTAAGCAGGGATTCAACTGTTAATTACAGCTTAGCTATTGAGGTTAGGCATCAACTATATATGTTCAAAACTGTGGTTCAAGTTGATTACTTTTCTAATCTTCTAGTTGGTTAACCAGTTTTTCTTCTATGTCCCTCAGGCCATTGCTTTTAACCTGCATTATCCTAGAGGAATTGTGAAGCACATAGTTGTTGAAGAGGATGCTGATAGTGTTCTTAACATGGCTGATGTGGTGCTATACGGGTCCTTTGTTGAGGAGCAATCTTTTCCTGTAATGTTGATGAAAGCCATGTGCTTTGGGAAACCAATCATAGCCCCAGACCTCTCCAACATCAGGAAATATGTATGCTTCTGATTCTTCAATGTTTAAGCAAAGTGGCTAACAAGTTGAACTTATGAATGCATACTTCCCTGCCATGAAAATTTTGATTTTAAATGCTTTGGTACTTAAAAGCATACAAGTCCAACAGTGTGTAGGCATGTCCCTTTACTTATTTCCGATTTTTGTTTCCTGGACAATTCATAAGCTGAAGTCAACTAAAATTTAGATGTTTTTTTAATTTCTCTGAAATATTTCTAGTTAATCCTGCTCTTGATTGTATGGCGTATTGGATTTTAATTAGATTTTCTCTTCTTTGCTGTAATAGCTTCTCATGCATCAAAATGTCGATTTGTATTGGGTTTGGTTATTCTGTGGTTTTTCTGTCTCGTAACTTTCTGATATTTAATCCCACATCAAGCCTGAAAAGCTCAAAGGGAGAGCTACTCTTCTAAATTCACTATTTAAAACTTGATATTGGCTAAGGGATACATGGTTCAGTCAGAAGTTGACGTAAATTTTTGAGCTCACTTTCTTTTGTACATTTTATAATTAGCAGCTCCTGCAGCTAACTGGGAGTTGTAAATATCTGTCTAATACTTATTTTCTCACCCCCTTTTCTTATGAATCATCTTCTCTCTCTCTCTCTCTCTCTTTTTTTTTTTTTTTTAAACTTTGTTGTTGATGAAATACTAACTCATTGGCTATAACAATTAGGTTGATGACAGGGTGAATGGCTATCTTTTTCCTAAAGAAAATTTAAGAGTTCTGACACAAATTATGTTGCAAGTAATTGCAAATGGGAAGTTATCACCTCTGGCTCACAATGTTGCCTCAATAGGAAGAGGTACTGTTAAGAACCTGATGGTTTTGGAAACTATTGAAGGTTATGGTTTGCTGCTTGAAAATGTTCTCAAGCTCCCATCAGAAGTTGCGATGCCGAAGGCTATTAAAGAACTTCCTCCCAAATTTAAGGAAGAATGGCAGTGGCAACTATTTGAAGCCTTTTCAAATTCAACATATGAAGAAAGAGCCTCAAGAAGTGACAGATTTTTAAAGCAGGTTGAGGGACAGTGGAACCTTACTCTAAGAGAGAGCTATGGTACTGTGCCTGCAACATATGACTCATTTTCATATGAGATTTGGGAGGAAGAAAAATCACTTGGGATATTTAACATGAGAAAAAGGAGAGAGGAAGAAGAGGTAAATAATTGTTCTGTGCAGTGACAACTCTTTCTCTGTTTTACTTTTTTAGAGGACAAAACTATGTGTTGATATCAAGAATATAATAAGAGAAAGGTGACTAAAGAATAATAATTTCTGACCCCGTTATTTGGTTTAGAAATTCACATTTTCTGGAATTTAATGCAGTTAAAAGATAGAAGCGAACAATCTCATGGAACATGGGAGGAAGTGTATCGAAGTGCCAAAAGGGCTGATCGTTCTAAAAATGATTTGCATGAACGAGATGAAGGTGAACTTGAAAGGACAGGTCAACCATTGTGCATTTATGAACCTTATTTTGGGGAAGGAACCTGGCCTTTTCTGCACCATAAATCGCTTTATCGTGGCATTGGATTGGTTAGTTGCATTTTAATTGTTGAAAATGTGTATATTCTCTGTTATCTAAATCTTTTCTCTACTTTGGAAAAATATATCATAGAAAAGTTTTAATCCCCCTTTTTATACTATTATACGGTTTTTATGCTTTTTCCCTTTTAATACTATTACGTGTAACCCTAAATTTTACTGGAACCTGCATGAAAGAATATTCTTTTTTACATATTTGATGTGGATCCATGGGCTGTATATTTTCAGTCCACCAAAGGCCGAAGACCTGGAACAGATGATGTTGATGCATCCTCCCGTCTGCCACTTCTGAACAATCCTTACTACCGAGACAGCCTTGGTGAATACGGAGCCTTTTTCGCAATTGCAAACCGGATTGATCGTATGCACAAAAATGCTTGGATTGGTTTTCAGTCTTGGAGAGTAACAGCAAGCAAGGTTTGTGGTTCTTTGTCTCACCTTACTCCCTATCTCTTCTGTTGTTCATTTGTTATTTTTACTTTTAAACTCTGCTTTAAGTTACCTTTATATATTAATCGGAAATTAGAATACATTCAATCAACAGAGCTTACCAACTGGTGATCAATCCTGAATATGGGCCTGGCAGACTAATCTTGTCAGGGAAATGGGTTCAAACAGTTATTAATATGGATGAATTTTGACAAGAGTGTGAAGCTTTTTGCTACGCTATAGATTAGTCAATGGCAGCAGCCTTGTTCATGGTTATCTTATTGGCATCGTATCAATTACTGTCCTAGTTACAAGTTCAAAATTGACATTCCATTTTGAAATGCCAAACTTATGGAGTAACTTATTTAATTCAATAGACATACAGTTTCAGGAGATGGTCCCTGTCCTCCTATTGTCATAACCTCTGTGGTTTGCATTTAGCTGTTTGACAATTCCTCTCGTTAATGGAAATTTGAATCTCCAAACAAAAAATAGAAATTGGTGACATCAAACCTTTTTGATATCTTCTATCAAAGAAAGTAAGTCACTGCACAAGTTTTGCACCCCATTTTCCAAGTATTGTTAGGGCTGGAAATAAGTTGCTCTTTTTCTTTTGTCTGCGGGGTATAAACAGGGATCATTGTCTGGGATTGCTGAAAATGAATTGCTAAATGCTATTCAAACGCGAAGACATGGTGACACACTCTACTTTTGGGTTCGTATGGACATGGATTCAAGAAACCCCTTACAACAGGATTTCTGGTCGTTTTGTGATGCAATAAATGCCGGCAATTGCAAGTAAGAGCTGTGAAGTTAATCAATTAATTAAGCACAATTATATTTGAATTCTGAGTTTATTTTCTCTCTCCTATAAGAATATTTGATTTGGTTTCTCCGTTTGATGAATGGTTGAAGGTATGCATTTTCTGAGTCTCTCAAGAGAATGTACGGCATAAAGCATGATTTCAATGTTTTACCTCCCATGCCCGAAGATGGGGGTACATGGGCTGTCATGCAGAGTTGGGCTTTGCCAACGAAGTCCTTCCTAGAGTTTGTTATGTTCTCAAGGTAATTGTGGTTGCTTGTGGATCTCAGTATACTTGCAATAAGGCCTGTGCCCATGTTAGAAGATGTTTGTGGATGTTTGTTATTGAATATTAAATTGTATATTGTTTCTTCATTGCAGGATGTTTGTGGATGCCTTAGATGCACAAATGTATGATGAGCACCATCAAAATGGATACTGTTATCTGAGTATGTCAAAGGTACAGCGCTTCTACTTCAAGTAGTTGTGCGCTTTCTGACAGAACAGTATTTTTCCAATCAGTAAATAGACTTCATTATCATCCAGGGTCCATTTAACTATGATTTATTTGAAGGAATCTGGCATCCTTTAAGCATAATACTATACATACAACAATTTTATACAACATGATTTGACAAAGATGATTGACTGATTTTAAATTAAAAATAAACTTTCACCCAATCATCTTTTGCCACATCATATTGTATGAGAAATGTTGTATATGTATTACTCATCCTTTAAATACTAAAGCTCAGTCTATGGTCCAAAATTTCGATAAAATGACTTCCTGTTGTATTTGAGTGTATTTAAGAAAAAAACACAAAAAGTCTTATCAAAATGGTATATAGTATTGCTAGTTTTTATATTTGTAACTCTTTGACGTTCTTCCCCAAATCAATAGCGTTTGCTATTTGTCTCACTTTTGTGGCTCTGCAGGACAAACATTGTTACTCACGTTTGCTTGAGCTACTTGTAAATGTCTGGGCATACCACAGTGGTAGACGGATGATATATGTGAACCATGAGACTGGTGCAATGCAAGAACACCACAGCTTTAAGAGCCGAAGAGGTAAAATGTGGGTGAAATGGTTCTCATACACCACTTTAAAGAGCATGGATGAGGACTTGGCCGAAGAGACAGATTCCGACCACCCTACACGACGATGGTTGTGGCCATCAACAGGTGAGGTTGTATGGCAAGGTATTATTGAGAGAGAGAGGAACCTTCGAAATCGACAGAAAGAGAAAAGGAAGCAACAGAGTAAGGATAAACTTTCAAGGATGAAGAAACGGAATCGCCAAAAGGTAATAGGTAAGTATGTGAAACCCCCACCTGAAGGGGAGACAAAAGATTCAAACTCAACTGTGGCAAACTGATTTTTCAAGGTTGTGGCGTCTAAGTAGATTCTAATTAGATAATTCTTTAATTTTTGAATTCTCCCTCATCTGGTCGATTTTTTTGTCAGAAAGGATGCACAAATATGTGTTGTGCATGTTTGCTTAGTTCGTATGTAACTAACTGCGTCCTTCCGGTCCTGGTCATTTGATGCTGACAAATGCCAAATGTATACAAGCGATTTTCTTTTTCATTTTTTTCTTCTTTTTAAAATGCCTTTCCAGGGTTGGTACATTCAAATGGAAGAAAAAGGCATGAGAATTTGTAAAGACAGTCATCAATGAAGAATTTGTATAACTCTAGCTCCTTAGAAATTGTATTTATTTATTGCTCTCTGTTCTCTATTATCAAATCCTTCCATGTAAATTGTCGGCATATTTTGCTGTCTCTCTGTTATTGAATATCAAATTCTTTCCCATTAACAATAAGATTCCGTAATTTATCGTTGACTAAAAGTCTGATGTTTCAGCTTACAATTACAGTTCCTGCAATGGTATCATACACTGCAATAACCTCGACATAGTTGTACTACCAGGACTCAATAACCTTGGGTTAAAAACACTCGTAATACAAAAAGAAATGTAGCATTCAAGATTCCAACTGTTTTGATTCAAAACTAAAGCACAACCATGCTGTTACATTCTTTCTGTGGTCGCAGGACAAAAATGATATTAATGATACATATATCAGGGAGCTCTAGTCCTTGAATCAGCAGAAGAAATGTGAACCCACAAATACCGCATTGCTGAATGACCATTCTGCCATTTTAGATCCTTGGGGCTGCAACAAAGTACAACTTGTAAATGTCAAATTAAATATAAGGGGTAAAAATAAAAAATTCAATTGAAGAAACATAACCAAACAATGAAACAAGGTCAAAGTTATCACAGGATGAAATTGCATCCTTCAACCAAATTAGATTTTCAAAATATGGTCACTATTCTCTCTAAAATTCAAGATTGCAGTCAACTTATGAATTTTTCAATACAACACAAATTCGTAGTTATGACTTCAGCCTACCTCCTCCAATTGTTGCTTCTGGCAAGCGCTCAATTGAATACTTATGTTGAGTAATGTACATAATTGGTACACCAGGAACCTGCCAAATACATAATTTTTTCCTTATATGATGGGTTTCAGTTTCAAGTATTTCAGTGCCAAATTACAACAGGTTGACCTTACCTTCCGAATCCTTCTCTTTAAATCTCTATCACAGGTTGCAACAATGAAGCATTTGTGCTGTTTCCAAAGAACTCTTGTAAGGTGCAGAAAATAACAATAAAAGTTACTAGAGTAGAAAGATACCCATATTCAAACACCAAAAAGTGGCTCTCATTTGGCTATCATTATAAACAAAATAAACTGCAGCATCCTTACTCAACTAAATTTTAACCTCTCTTTACTATCATAACAAGGCCATTCATATTTCTAAAAAATCTAATAGATCTTTGATCAAAGTCAACTTGACAAAAGAAAATGTCCAAAACAGGTACGTCAAAACTACACTGACTATAACTTCACAATAAAAATTTATACAGCAGTCAATAGATGCCATTTGTACCTGAGTAACTCGATCAACAAGACAGTCATCAGCATATGTCCCTTTATGAGAACAGGGTAGTCTCTCAAAACGAGGATCCTTAGCAATCCTGTTAAAAGAAATCATTGAAAAGGAAGTGAAAAAAAAAAACTAGTTCAAAACTCGTCACCTAAAATATAATAAGAAGAGATTGTAAAATGCAGCTGATAGTCAGAATCCTTTCACACCAAAGTCTAAATGAAGAAAATTGAACATAAAACTTGCTTGTAATGTGCCATAAATAAAGCACTAGGGAACATACCTCAGAGCTACACGGTACTTCTGACCTAACTTCTCAAGCTCCGCCATCACACAATCCGTAATACAAGGAGTGCCTTTCAATAAAAAAGTAGAGAAAATACAAGCAAGAAGAGAATAAGACCAAGATGTTAACAGATCACTTATTCAATTCATATGGTTATCCATTACTAATTTACAATATCTGCGGCTACTAGTTCAAAACCTGTAGGTTTTAACTAACACGGCTATTCAACTTCAGAAGACAAAAAAAAGCAGTAGGCACACATATTAAAATAGAATTGAAGTGCGGGTTTTTTATAAACTCACATTTTGCGTATAAGCAATCCATCATTCCCTTCTCTAGATCCAACTGCAGAAAATTATAAAATAAAACACAAGTTAAGCGAGTCAAAGCACCAGCAATTTACACTTCGAAACAGTCAGTAATTTCCAAAATAAAAATAATACAAAACTAGCAAGTAGAAGTTGAGTATATCTAAAAATCGATATCGATCAACTCTTAAAACGCACTTTCAACATAAATTAAAAACAAATCGGGCTATAATAAAATACAATAATAACAACGTAAAGAACCCACTTTATTCTGGATGGATAAATTAATGAAGTTGGTATCCACCAAGACCCGGTAAGGCGGCCCCAAGGCTGTGTTGTGTTTGAAGAAAAGCGCCGAGGAAACATTTGGCCTAATTGACACACAAAATTTAAGCACTAATTAAGATAAATGAAACAAATTTTCTATTTTTGTTTTACATAAAATAGTTAGAGGCTTACACATTTCTTGGAAGCTTTTCCTTGCTAAGGTCTTTCTTATTGGGATTCAAAACCTCTTCCTTGTAACTAACAAAATTAATGAACAAAAGTAAAATTAAAATCAACATTAATATAAAAATTACAAGAAAATAAACAAACAGAAGAAATATAAAAATAGAATTTACTTTTTGATTGCTTTCTTGGTGATGATCTTTTTCATGGCTGCAAATTTAGGAGCCTTTTTTGCTCTCCCCATCTTTTCGATTTAAGGCTAACTCAACAGCAGTGATTTCCTCTACGAAAGTTTACTTGGACAACAATGAATAAAATATGAAAGTGACAGAAGTCTGCACCTGCGTTAGCAGCGAGTGAGAATTGGTGAAAGCAAAAGAGTGCAGTAAGAAAACCGATGATGAAGAAAGCCGGGAACAGTTATATATGTTTCTTTAGGGCTTTATTTTTGGTTTTCAATTTTAACCTAATTTAAGTCGGCAAGGTTGGGCTTGGGCTTTAGAAATTAAATTGGGCTCAACCTCAAGTCTACAAGCTGCTGCTGCAAATTGCAGCAGTCGCAAGCTTGCAAGCTGCTGCAATTTGTGGTGTCTAGTTATATAAACATTTATAAAATACAATCATACATAGCATTATGGCTCACATATCTGTGGATTATAGTTAAAGGTTATGGATTATAATTTTGAGAAATTGCTTCAAAGAAATGAAACCCAGTTCACAAATCACTAATCCCTTTTGATTACCATTGTTTTGAGGGGCCAAAAGAGAAGCCCCATAAGCACAAGCACAACACAAAGGCAACTGAACAGAAAGAATAAAAGGAAAGAGAGAAATATAGATTGCAGCATAATAACGCCAAAAGAGAGAGAATAATATTAAGATTCTTTCATATCACGCACCTTCAATCTGAGTAGTATCCCTCAGAGAATCAACAGTTGAAGTTCAAGCAACACCGGAGAAGAAGACGACAGATTTTTTGACGACGAACGACGGCTATCGAGAGGAGACAGGAGAGAATGGAGAAGAAGAGAATCAAGAGATACTAAGATAATACCAATTCGATTTGCCCTAATCGAATTGGGTATTTTGCTTTGGGTTTGTAAAGTAAATTTACAACATATCCCCCATTATTTCACGAGTAATACTACTTTCACAAACACTTTTTACAGACATTTTCGCACAAACGTCATTTGTCGACTCATAATTGGTCAGATCACAAGGATCATGTCTGTCTAATAATGGGTCTCATCTAACTAAGTCAATTACAAGTTACCATATAGGGTTAGTGAGAGGTATCAGTGAGAGGTGTTAACGAGACTCTTGGCTCCGTTTGGTTCACAATTTTGTGTTTTGGGGAAAAGTTTTTTTAAAAAAGTTAAGAAAAAGTTAAATTCAGTGGGTATTACGATGTAGGATTTACAAATTAATAAAATACCCCCTATGTTTGTTTATTTACAAAGCACCCCCTATAATAAAACATTAAAAGTTAACAAAAACACCCCTAACCCACCCTCAAATACGGACAGTTGGCCACCACCGTCGGAGGGTGGCCGGATTTTTCGTATCGGTGCATGACCGACAAGATCCAAATCTTGTCGGTCGTGCGCCGATATGGCCTTTTCCGGCCAGATCTAGCATAGATCTGGCCATTGACGGCCAGATCTGGTCGTATTTGCTTGTCAACGATAGTCAACAAACGGTTGTCGTTGATGGTCAACGTCGACCGTTTGTTGGCTGTCGTTACCGACTGGTTACGGCCAAAGATCTGGTCGTCAACGTGGATCTGGCCGGAAAAGGCTAGATCGACGCACTACCGGCCAGATTCAGCCGGTAGTGTGCCATCCTACCAGATTCCAGTCATTTTCCGACGATGGTGGCCGAAATCTGGTAAATGTAGATTGCTGGGGTGTTTTTGCAATTTTTTAAAAAATATTTAAGGATATTTAATTAAATTAACAAATTTAGAGGGTTTAAAAAAAGTTGAATAATATTGAAAATAGTATTCCAAAAAACCAGAGTTTTTGGGTATTTTACTATTTAACTTTTTTAGGAATACTAAAAGTAAGATTCTCAAAATGCAACCAAACGAAGCCATTATTATCCTTATTTTATACTGGTATTGAGCATAGTCTATTTGATATAACTAATGTTTATAAACGTAATGTTATAATTAGGTATTTATAATGCATTAATATTTAATTATAATATAATGTTATAATGAATTAAATTTTTAATCATTTAATTAAGTAATGTACTAATATAGTAAATTAATAATATTTATAATGTAATGTTATAAATTTATAATTAATTAAGTAATCATTTAACTATAATATAATGTTTTAATTAATTAAATTTTTAATGATTTAATTAATTAATGTACTAATGTAGTAAATTATTAATGTTTATAATGTAATGTTATAAATGTATAATTAATTAAGTAATCATTTAATTATATAATGTTATAATTAATTAAATAATTATTTAACTATAATATAATGTTTTAACTAATTAAATTTCTAATCATTTAATTAAATAATGTACTAATGTAGTAGATTAATAATGTTTATAATGCAATGTTATAAATTTATAATTAATTAAGTAATCACTTAATTATGTAATGTTATAATTAATTAAGTGATAATACTATAATGTAATGTTATAATTAATTAAGTAACCATACTATAAATCTATAATTTAATGTTATAATTAATTAAATTTTTAATAAAATATACTAAAGTAAATTAATTAATTAATTATGTAATGTAATAATTAATTAAGTAATCAGACTATAATGTAATGTTATTATTAATTAAGTAATTATATTATAAATCTACAATATAATATTATAATTAATTAAAATTTTAATCATTTAATTGAGTATTGTACTTATGTTTACAATGGAATTATTATTGATTAAGTAATCATTTAACTGTAATGTAATGTTTTAATTAATTAAATTTCTAATTATTTAATTAAGTAATGTACTTAAATTACTAATGTTTTATACTAATATTTTTTATATGTAAAATTACTAGAAACAAAGCCCCCCCACCCCAACCCACCCCCCCATTTCTTTATACATATTTTGTTTCAGCCCATATTCCAAAACAGGTTCCAATTCGGATATCCGCCATCGATTCCAAGCAGGTTCCAAACCTGGTACCCATACTCTGGTCCAAATTGGGTACCCGCTTTAGGTTCTTTCCTAGGTTCTGGTTCCTCATATGTCGGAACGAAACACACAGTAGGTTCCAAAAAAATGGAACTGGAACCTATCCGCACAGTATCGATTTCGAATAGGTTCTGATTCTACCCAGGACATATGCTCACTCCTCTATATCCATTATCAATATATTATTATCACAAGTCACAACATCGATGAGGTGAAACACTACTCTAGATTATAGACAGTGGCGGATCCAGGATTCTACCCAGGACGTTTTATACTAATTTTTTTTATATGTAAAATTACTAGACCACCCACCCCCCCCCCCATATTCTTTATACATATTTTGTTTCAGCCCATATTCCAAAACAGGTTCCAATTCGGATATCCGCCATCAATTCCAAGCAGGTTCCAAACCTGGTACCCATACTCTGGTCCAAACTGGGTACCCGCTTTAGGTTCTTTTCCTAGGTTCTGGTTCCTCCATATGTCGGAACCGAAACCACACAGTATCGGTTCCAAAAAAATGGAACTGGAACCTATCCGCACAGTATCGATTTCGAATAGGTTCTGATTCTACCCAGGACATATGCTCACTCCTCTATATCCATATCCATATTCTTATTATCACAAGTCACAACATTGATGAGGTGAAACACTACTCTAGATTATAGACAGTGGCGGATCCAGGATTTTTGTCCAGGTGGGGCCTCTGCGGCTCCGCCATTATTTGCCAAATAACTAGTGAAAACATTAAAAAATCACTAAACCTTAATTAAAAAAATAATACAATATTAAGAACCTGAGAAAAAAGAATATACAATAACATAATATTTTCTTACTTGAATAAATCTACGAGAAGCAAAATTTTGAGTAAACCTTGAACAAAACTTTCTTTTAATATTTTTATTTTTGGCTTTCAAATATTACAATATAAATTTTCATAGCGTTGATCAAACTTAGCCTAATTAAGATAAAATCAATCAAAACTTAAATTAAGTCAACGTTACGTTGACTTTTAATATGAATTAATAAAAGAGGAAATTTTTTTTTAGTATAAACATAGATAGTAACTCAATTTTTTTTAATAATTTTGAACAACTGAACGGTGACGTTTAAAATGTAGAAAAGTGGTGGGTGAAGGGTGGAGAATAACGTCCTTTAAAATATAGTTAAGGTTTTAATTTGAGAAAGCAGATTCATTCTTAGACAGAAAATACAAAATAAACTCACAAGATTAATATCATTTTCTCTCAAATTAGAATAAAAAACCTCAAAAAGAAAAAAAATGATTCAATCCTTAAATAAACTAAATTGAAATGAACAATGCACATATCTAAAATCGATAAAACAGAAAACGGATCTAATTATGACACCTTGAGTAGTGAAAATTTAACAATTTCAGTTTTAAAAAATTTTAAGAGCGAATAACATGAGAAAGAGAAAAAGAGAGTAAAGAATTTTGGGATAAAATCATAAAAAACAGGTAAAGCTGTGTAGAAAACCACTAAAGAGAGTTTTAAACTTTTAATATGATGTGAGCTTGGAATATACATAATAAGTTTTTTTGTAGACCTAGATATACAGTATGTATAATATTTCTTATTTTTTTTAAAATATGAAGATGGTCTGGGTATATATATTAATTAATAATTTTTTATAGACGGTATATTAATAATTTTTTTTTCAAATCTTAGGGTAGGCCCAGGCGTACGCTCCCCTGATTATAGAACTATACCCAGTTTTCTCATCATTATACGTATTCCACACCATCACACCTCCATATTTAGCTGAACCCTTAGCAAAAGGTAAAAAGATTTGAGCTCATTGGGTGGCATATAACCGCTACCAGCAGTAGCTGAAGAAGCAAGAAGTCCAATGAAGAACTGACCAGCTGATATAGATGAAGTCCACTGTTTCCATGAATTGTTAAACTTGTCACCATTGCCGGAGGTATACTGACATTGAGGATTGTTATAAAACTGAATCCACACATAATCAAACAGTCCTGTGGAAAGTGCACTACCCAGCCAATAATCCGGAAAAGAAAATTATGGTGCTGCGGCTAAGTACACTGTTCTTCCCTGTTTGCTGTACTCGGACAATCCGTTTGCGAGTGCTGCATAGTGAGGTTCACCTCCTTCGATATCAAAATCTATACCATCCAATATGGCGTCGCCGAGTGGTCTAGAATTTGAGTGTCCGCCCAAGAAGTTGTTCCAAAGATAGTCCGCGAGACTCCTGGCATCATCATCAGATGATAAAGA